TGTCGCAGCTGATGACCTGGCGGTAGGTGTCCTCGATGGTGGGGATGTACGTGTCCCGGAAGGTCCCCTTCACGAACCGCAGCACCAGCGAGCTCTTGCCCACGCCGCCGGCGCCGAACACCACCACCCGGTAATCGTTGCTCTGCTCCGGCATCTTGCCCTGTGGATGCTGCTGCTGCTGCTGCTGCTGCTGCGAGGGAGAGGGCACAGGGAGGTGTCACAGCAGCAGCGGGGGGTTCGGGATGGATCCCCCCCAGCACCAGTTTCGGGGGGGGGGGGAGAATGGGGCAGCCTCCCCCCCCTTCCCGACCCCAGTGGAAGCCCCCTTAGAGATGCAGCCCCCCTGCTCCAACCAGGCCAATGCACTGGGGGGTCCCGGCCCCCCCCCATGCCCTTGAGGTGCCCTTGCAGGGTGCTCCCGGCCCGCCTGGGGTGCAGCAGCTTTGGTTATTTTTACCAGCCGCCCGCTGCAGCCATATGGCAGAGCCGCGGCCACGGTGCTGCGGGGGGGGCACACACAAACACTGAGAGCTCCGGCACCCCCAGAGCCCCCCCCTCCCGGCAGCAGGAACAGCCCCAGGGGGCAGCTGCCGGTCCAGGGAGGACTCAGTGGCCCCCAGAGCCCCTCCAAGCTCTGCCTCGCACGGCTGCTGTGGGTGCTGAGTGCGGAGGTGCCATTGCACCCAGCGGCACCGCGCGCTGTGCCCCGTGCCGTGTCCTGTGCTCTGCCATCCCTCGGCTCCACTCACACCCTGGTGATGCAGCAGGGGCAGAGAGACACGGGCACGGCCGTGGGCTTGTGGCCTGCAGGCTCTGAGACTGCTGTGGCTGCCAAACCCCTCCCGTGGGGCTGAAGGGGTCCCCACTTGTACCCCCCCCCCCCTCAAGTGATGCAGCCGCAGGATGTGGACCAAGGAGGCACAACGAGGCGCTGATGCCAAGCCCCAGGCTGAGCATTGCCTCAATCAGACCCTGCCTCAGTTTCCCTGCTGCAGCACGGGAAGGGCAGCATCAGCTCTGCCCCGTGAGGTGTCCCCAGCACACACAAGGCACCACAGAGGGACAGGGGCCATGGGTCAGGGGGTCTGGAGGTGCCCCACCAACAGCAACAAGCGGGGTGGGAGGGCAGTGACACCGCTTCGGGCAGATGCTGGAGGGAGTCAATTCTGTCCCAGGCCAGCACCGCTCCCACCACCTCCACCTCAATCCGGGGACCAATAAGTCTGGAAGAGGGGCACAGCAAAGCCCCTCGGGCAGCCCTGCGCTGGGCACCACGGCTCCTCCATCCCCAGGCATCTCCTTGGGAACCGGCTCCTTCCCATGGCCGTGGCATCCCCACCCTACGGCACCAGCTCCCACAAGCAGCTCCAGCTTGTTCCCAAACACTCAGGTAGGGGCTGGTGCCTGGAAAACCAGGGGAGCGAGCAGCTGGGGTATAGAGAGGGAGCCCATCACTGTGGCCTTGGGCACCCAAGAAGCTTGCCCCATCGAGGGCTCCCTGCACACGGGGCAGAAAAACACCCCTTGGATTCGACCATGTCACAAACATCACTGGCTCATGGGGCCAGGGCTGGAGCAGGGGAACATCGGGTCCTGGCTGGGGCTGGTGAGGGTCCTGCAGACCAAAGAGCCCCCGGCCTTGGGGCCACAGCATGGGGCACTGGGACCAGGGGGCTGGGTTGGAGGGGCCTTCATGGGCACTGCCGCAACCCCACAGTGCCCTCAGCATCTGCCCACCCAGGCCACGGCCTCCCCATGGCTCCCAGGGATGGGGTCAGCAGCGAGCCCCGGGTGCAGCCCAGGCATGGTCCTGCCGTGGGGCTCCTCACCCCACCAGCACCCCTCAGCATCCTCCCACTTGGACACCAGCGCTGGAGGAGACAAACAGCTTGGGGGGGGGGGGGGGTCTGGTGATCATGATGGAGCGCAGAGGCAGGATGGATGGATGGAGGGATGGAGGGCAGAGGCAGGAGGGAGGGAGGGCAGGATGGAGATGGCGGGCAGGAGAAGGGGCAGGATGCAGACGGCAGGGGCAGGATGAGGGGCAAGGACCAGGGTCCCGCCGCACCGGGCCGGGGTCCCGGCTCCGCTCCCCCTCGGTGCCATCGCCCAGGGCACCCCCCGCGTCCCTCCCCTGCCTCCCCCGCCGCGCCGGTCGCATTGCGGTGCCCGCGCCTCACCGTGTCCTGCCCAGGATCCGCCCTTGGCTGCGGGCTGCGAGGCGGCCTCAGCGCATGGCCCGGCCCGGGGCGGCCCCGGAGCGGTGGCTCCGGTCCGCCCGGCGCGGCGGGGCTCGGCTCGGGGTGCGGCGGGGCTCGGCCCGGCGGGGGCTCGGCGCGGTGCGGAGCGGAGCGGAGCGGTTCGGTGCGGTGCGGCCGCCGCAGAGCCGATCCCGCCCCGCCGCCGGCCCCGCCCGCCGCGCCCGCCCCGCCCGGGGCCGCCGGACCCCCGGGCCCAGCCCCGAGCGGCTCCGGGGAGAGGACAAACGGGCAGGGACGGGGCCACACGTGGATGGGGCCAGGCACGGGCACGCGGACACGGACACACAGGAGGAGGAACGGGTGCACGGACAGGGGTGCACAGACGGGGTGCAGAAGGGTCAGGGGTGCACAGACAGGGGTGCAGACAGGGGTCAGGGGTGCATGAACAGGGGTGCACGGACAGGGGTGCAGACAGGGGTCAGGGGTGCACGGACAGGGGTGCACGGACAGGGATGCACAGACAGGGGTCAGGGGTGCACGGACAGGGGTGCACAGACAGGGATGCAGACAGGGGTCAGGGGTGCACGGAAAGGGGTGCACAGACAGGGGTGCACGGACAGGGGTGCACAGACAGGGGTCAGGGGTGCACAGAGGGGTGCACAGATAGGGATGCATGGACAGGGATGCATGGACAGGGATGCACAGACAGGGGTCAGGGGTGCACAGAGGGGTGCACAGATAGGGATGCAGACAGGGGTCAGGGGTGCATGGACAGGGATGCACGGACAGGGGTGCACGGACAGGGGTGCAGACAGGGGTGCACAGACAGGGATGCAGACAGGGGTCAGGGGTGCACAGACAGGGGTGCAGAAGGGTCAGGGGTGCACAGACAGGGATGCACAGACAGGGGTGCACAGACAGGGGTGCAGACAGGGGTGCACAGACAGGGGTGCACAGACAGGGATGCAGACAGGGGTCAGGGGTGCACGGAAAGGGGTGCACAGACAGGGGTGCACGGACAGGGGTGCACAGACAGGGGTCAGGGGTGCACAGAGGGGTGCACAGATAGGGATGCAGACAGGGGTCAGGGGTGCATGGACAGGGATGCACGGACAGGGGTGCATGGACAGGGGTGCAGACAGGGGTGCACAGACAGGGATGCAGACAGGGGTCAGGGGTGCACAGACAGGGGTGCACAGACAGGGGTGCAGAAGGGTCAGGGGTGCACAGACAGGGATGCACAGACAGGGGTGCACAGACAGGGGTGCAGACAGGGGTGCACAGACAGGGGTGCACAGACAGGGATGCAGACAGGGGTCAGGGGTGCACGGACAGGGGTGCACAGACAGGGGTCAGGGGTGCACAGAGGGGTGCACAGATAGGGATGCATGGACAGGGATGCACGGACAGGGGTGCACAGACAGGGGTGCAGACAGGGGTGCACAGACAGGGGTGCACAGACAGGGATGCAGACAGGGGTCAGGGGTGCATGGACAGGGATGCATGGACAGGGGTGCATGGACAGGGATGCACGGACAGGGGTGCAGACAGGGGTGCACAGACAGGGGTGCAGACAGGGGTGCACAGACAGGGATGCAGACAGGGGTCAGGGGTGCATGGACAGGGATGCACGGACAGGGGTGCACGGACAGGGGTGCACAGATGGGTGCACAGATGGGTGCACAGACAGGGGTGCACAGCCCAGCATGGGGATGGGGCCCCACAGGTGGAAGCAGGGGATACAGGGCCACAGAGCAGGATGGAGAGGTGCTGACACCCGGCAGCAGCAGGGTGCTGTGCGCCCCCGTGGCCGTTGTGGGTGGCTTAGGCAGCGACACTGGGCTGTAAGGACCAAGCACAGGGGCTCTGTCACCACTGGCCGTGTCCCCTCTGCAGGTGCCATGGCAGAGCAGGATCAGCAGCCCCAAAACCCTGGAGAGGCCCCAGGCAGGGGCAAAGCTGCTCCCTGGCCACAGCCCCCTATCAAGTGACACACTGGGGTCCTTGGGTGGCATCTGCTGGGGCTGTGGGACCCCCACCACCACCTCCCCAGTGCAGCCGAGCAGGACTGGGGCCTGAGCTGCTTGGAGCACAGGCTCAAGGGCAAGGTCCTCAGCCAGGGTTAGGGTTAGGAGCTGCGGGGTGCTCTGCCCCACCACGGGGACAGTGGGGCTGGAGCCTGAGGTGAGCACAGGCCCCAAGGGTTGGGAGGTCACTGTCGAGGTGGGCAGTTACCAGAGCCGGAGCCCCCTCACTGGTGCTCGCTCCCGCACGGCAGCAATTAAAATCCGCAGCTCCTATTAATAGCAGCCACCAGCACGTGTCCCTTGAGGAGCACTGCTGGGCCCAGCAGCAAGCAAAGGGCGGAGGGACACACACACACACACACCCCCACCAGCCTTCCCTCTTGGGAATGGGGACAGGGCCCTGACTGGCCCCCCCTGCAATGAAAAGGAACCCCACCGTGCCCCCCCTGCCCCACAGCGTTACGAGCTGGACGGGTACTACTCGGTAGAGGCAATGAATGAGTTTCCTTGATGGTTTTAGCTCTGGCTCCTCCTCTGCTTCATTCAGTCCCCAGCTCCCCGCCAAGCCTTACGCAATGGGGCCGCTGCCGGCTGCACACGCAGGGCTGAATCACTGCGATGCAGAGTGGGAGGGGAGAAGAGGGGGGAACGGGAGCGTTCTACCCCTGCACTCGCCCTCTGAGCTGGGGCTGGGGTCTGCCTGCCCCTGTTGCATGAGCAGGGGATGCAGTGAAACGACGGTGACTTCAAATGAACAAGGGATGCGAAGGGATGGAGGCCAGAGGCTTTATTGGGAGCAGCAGATAGGGCTCGTCCTCCTCTGCCCCTAAACCAACCCAGGAACATGGGACTCTGCTACTCACAGGTGAATAAACCCCTCCGGGGTAGCAGGAACAGGGGGGACAGCTCAGCCCCCTTGCCAGCTCCACCTGAAGAAGGGTGTTAACCTGAGGCTCCAGCCTGGCCCCTAACTGTCACACTGACCCCAGACCCAGAGAGGGCTGGGGGGATCCATGATCCCAGCCCCCAGTAGTGGATCCCTACTGATCTCTTGGGCACAGGTTAAGAAATCTCACATCAACAGCTTGGCTTGGCTTTAGTACCTCAGCCCTTGAACGCAGATGGGGCCAGGCCCAAGGAAGGATGAGGAAGATGAAGAGGGGAAATGGGGTGCTGGGATACACCTGCCTTCTGGCCTTCATCCATTTACTCAGTATAGGAAAAAGCACCTACAAGCGACTAAGAGCCACAGTGGCTGTGCCCAAGGAGGGACAGTCAGCGCTGTGCTCCCACAGCAAGCGTCCCAGGACAGCCACCAGCACTGAGACCCCCGAGAGGAGCCACGCTGCCCACGTGAGCTGGCTGCAGAAGTGAAGTAACACAGAGCTTTATCACATCCAGGCCTATTATGTTCTCCTCAGGCCCTGCTCACTTATGCCATCTGAGGCCTAAAATAACTCTCCCTTCCCCCTGGCACTCCAGGTTTTTCAAAGCAAGATTAATTGACTTTGGTATGTTGTAGCAATTAAAATAGCTAGCACCAGGAAGTGCTCAGATGAGTCTCATCAGCCTCCATATGCTGCAGCTGTGCCAACCACTGCCTCCAAGATGCTGTTTCACAGTCTCACCCATCCTTCTTCCCACTTTGGATCACACTAACAGGGACAGCACCACAGCTAAGCCCGTTATAATCCCATCAGCACTTCCAACGAGCTCTGCTCTGCCTGTGGAAGCTGCTGCAGAAGGAAAGGCTCACTCCTGTCACAGCAGCAGGAGGCAGCGGGGAGGCCAAGTTCCCAGCTCCAGGCTCTGATCTGAGCTCTTCAGCCAGGAGGGTAAATCCAGTGATCACAACAGGATGCACAGCGTGCTGAGCCTCCCTGGAGCCGTGCTCTGGAGCCAGGGGAGAGCTGCTCCTGCGCACTGCCTCCCATCAGCCCTTCCACAACCTCCTAAAGCCCAAGGGAAGAGATTGCTTTGGAAGACTCCAACGAGCTGGCCTTGCAAAGCCTCTGTAATGCAGCGCAGGCACGTGAGCCTGCCAGCCACGAGGGCAGGGAGCACAAACCCACGTCTGAGGGCAGCTGCTAAACCCATTCCACCACAAGCATTTGCCCTTAAAATATCAGTGCTGGAAATTGCTGCTGCTCGTTCCTCACACACGAGTGGATCCCAGGCTGCAGGAAGGCTGTAGAAAGGCCTTTGGACAGGGACAGGAAGATTTCCAAATGGTACATTAGCACTCTGCTGGAGGTTTTCCTTGTGGAATGCTCATCATATGGGTGAGATGTGGAGAATGAAACACAGGACAGGGACCTGGCCTCATTTTGTCCATTAATGAGTCCAAAACAAAAGCTCCTGAGTCACCATGGATTAGGATGGAAGCTCTGTTGGGGGGAGCTGTGGCACCAGGCACACCACGGGCCCAGAAGGGATGATTTTTGGCAGCTCTCACAACCAGGCATTGCTCAAAACTAAGCTAGCAAAAGCAGCTTAGTGCAGCTGTGCAATCCATGACCACACTTGCTTTTGACTGTATCGCTGTTACTGTTTCTCACCTTCTCAGAGCCAAAGAGTGAAGGGAGCAGAGTCTCAGCCCCAGATTGTGTAACGAGTGTGATGGGAAGGAGGGAGGGGGCTGGCTGCGCAGATTAACAGGAAACCACATGCTTGATGAGCTCCTTGAAGGCAGCCTTAGAATCCGATTCTTAATGTTTGTCTCAACTAATCTCTTCACAAGCTGCTGTGCCTGCAGATCCGGGGAGGAGGGACAATACCTGTGGCACCTACACTGGGACACTCCTCATCCTTATCTCCCTCTGAGCACACAGGAAGAAATTCTCCTTCTTTAGGTCAATATGGAAATACCACCTGGACTGTGATGTTTCACTGAGCCATTGAGCTTCAGCATCCCCCTTGGCTGAAGAGAAGCTCATCTCTGGTGCTCTTTGCAAGGGAAGGAGGTGAGGTTTGTTTCCCATTGCTTCTGTGTTCACCACTTGAAGAAGACCAGCCCAGCCAGAGCCGCATAGCCCAGCACCAGGAACAGAACCTTCAAGAGACGGTTGTTCTTCTCTTCCAATTCCTTTGCAAGGATCTCAAAGAAGGTGATGAACAAGAAAGTGCCCCCTGCGATGCCTTGCAGCAGCAGGGAAGTAATGTTGCTGGCTGCGTTTTGGGTGCTCTCAATCCCCATCCCAATGCTAATGCCCAGAGGAATCATCAGGCTCACTGTCACAGCCATCTTCACAGCATCCTTCAGTGGCAAGGAGGACTTAGCCATGCTGATGCCCAATGCCACTGCCACCAGCGTCTCGTGAATGGCAACTCCTAGGAACAAGCTCATGAGTTTGCCACCTTCCTCCTGCAAGCCCAGGGCCAGTCCCTCGAAGATGGAGTGTGTACACAAAGCAAACCCCAGGCCAATGAGCCGTATGGGGCTGGAGCTGGAAAGCTCCCGGATGTTCAGGCCATGCGAGTGGTGACTGTGCTCACTGTACAACGGGCGCCCACGGGATGAGGCGATGAAAGGACTCTCGTATTCAGAGTCACTCCCGACATCCGAGCCAGCATTGAAGGTCTCCAAGTCAATGAAGGAAGGTTTTTCCTTCTGGAAAGTCAAGATGAGCTGCTCCACAAAGACCGTCACAAAGAAGCCAACCATCATGATGGTCTCAGCCGCCGGGTAGTCCGTGGTCACGTTCCCCTGCCTAAGAACTTCACTGAGCTGTAAGGAAGCAAACAATGCACAGTGAATCAATCACCTTCGTCCTTCAAAAAGTGAAACATTCCTGGTGTGCTCCCCCAACTCTAAATGGAGACAAAATTAATCCATGATGTTTCCTGTGCCTTCCAGGGCAAGGTTTGCAGCTGTCGATGCTTTCAGCACATGCTAAACAGGAGGAGTTCTGAGCCTCACATCCAGGTGATGCTCAGCCTCCTTCTGCATTAAAAACTAAACAGATCCCCATCTGCACAGGAGCAGAAGCTGAATGGGAGATGGGCACAGCTCTTGGGCCCCAGGCACAGCCATCTCTGAGGAGGCTTCACGAGCCACTCTGGCTGGACAGAGACCCTTCATCCCTATTCCCACCAGCTCAGAGGCCTGGGGGCCTGCAGGGCAGGAGCAGGGAGGCTGCTTCCCCTGCACAGGGGTCCTGAACACAGTGGCACCACTTGACTAAAAGTGCTCATAGGAGAGAGGCTCAGAAGCAGTTACCTTTTCTCTCACAGCAGGCAGCAAAGCATTGAAGCACGTGGCCAGGAAGACTCCTCCTCCAAAAGAATTGCAGAGGGCAAGAACCTTCTTGGAGCGATGAGCTTTCTCGTAATCAGCCTCGATTATCTTGACAGGAAGGAGGGACCCCACCAGCATGAGGACGCAGATGCCCAGGAGACACAGCACTTTGGCCACCACAATCTTCATTGTGCTTCCTGGGGAACACTCCTCGGTCAGTGGCCCTGGGGACAGCAGTTAGTGGGGGTCCCTCCAGCTGCCCTTAGAACAGGCACATCAGCAGGCAATGGCACAGACAGACCTCAAGGGGAAAGTGCTCCTGGACTCAGTCCCTGTGGACAGGAGCAAAACAAGAGAGATTTTCCTATGGAAGCATCCCAAAACACAGCCAGCCTCTGCATAGCAACCCCTGTAACTCCCCAGAGGCGGCGGGAGGAGTTGCCAGCAGCAGAACCCTGCACACAGCAAGTAGAGAAACCAGCAGAGAAAAACGTAAGTGCAGCAAACAGTAACTTAACAACCCTGTGAGAAATGCAGCAGCCACAGCAACCTGGCACAGCCTCGGGTTGTCGAGGTTTCACTTCAAACCCCTGCACCAGGACAGACACAAACCACCTGATCCTGCAGTAGAGTCCAACCAAAGGATCAAGTCTTTGGGTTTTAACAATGAGAAAAGAACAGGGACTTGGGCTGGTGGGATCTGTCACACAGAAATGAACCTGAAGATCTTCCTTCCACATTCATACAGGAGATTTTGGGGTACTAATATCCTTGAAACTACACTATTGGATTAATTCCTGCTCAGTTTCCTGAGCCACCATCACCATCTCACTGGAGTGGGTCAGAGCCTCTACCATTGGCTGTTGGTGCTGTACCAGGAGGCAGTGAGAGTGTCGATAGCTGTCTCTAAAGGGAAACCCTACAGAGAAATTACCTGCAAGGCTCTCTATTGTCTATAGAGTGTGACAAAAGAAGAGGCAGAGGTTGTTTCATGCAAGAGAAAGAAGATTTGAGTTGACTAGGTCACAAAAACTGACGATCTGAAATATTAAAGCATTTCCCTCCAGGTTCCATGCAGTGAAACCTGTTTTCCTAAAAATCATTTCACAAAATAACATTGTTAAATCTATTTTTTTTTAAATACACAGACGTGAACAGGTCCCTCCACTGCTGCTCTCACCACTTACGCAGAATTGCCTTGTAAAGTCAAAGCAATGGCACCTTGAGAAGGTTCTCTTGCAGGTCACCAGGTAAAGGCTGCCAGCCAGAGTGCACTGGGGTAACAAAATAACACTGAACACTCCCAGCCATGTTAACACCCACACCTGCGATGAACAGGGCAGAAATGATGGCTTTTATTAAAAGGAAAGTGGGAGCCTGAATGATTCTGTACTTGGGGGGGGGGCGTTAAAGCTTTTTTCTATCTTCTCCAAGTTTGCAGCTCAAGCAGAAGCAAACAGAAGGAGGTTATGGTGGTCAGGCCATGGGTTCTCAGCACCCATGGGAAGTGATGCTCATGCCAAGAAGCCCCTGCTCAGATGCCACTGATTGACTTGCTCTGGGGAGAACCCAGCAGCCAAGCCAGGTCTGAACAAGTCACTCCAGAGCTCGATGTGCACGGACAGGGCTCTGGCAGCAGGCAGCCCATTGATGCAGCTGAGAGCAGGTTCCCTTCTCCAGGTTGACTCCAGGACTGCCAATGCTCCTCAGTGCTGTGCTGACACAGCTCACAAGGCTTTCATCTTCCTTTTCCTAACCCAGCAACAGTTCCCAGCAGAGCATAAAGCCTCCAGGTCCCCGCAGCAGCTGAGAGCAGCCATTCACCCCCTGACCTAGGACCAAAGCAGCTTAGTGAAGAAGGAAGCAGTAAGTACAAGAAATACCTTGTGTTTCTCCTTGCCTGCTCTTGCCAACAGCCCAGTGTTCAGGACTCAGCACTGCCAACGTCTGGACTGCTTCACCAGCCTGAAAGCCTTCTGTAATAAAGAATTGACTTAGGACAGGTACTGCTTGGCTTAGCAGGCTGTAATGAACCATGCCAGCAAGAAGAGATATGATATAAAGCAGAGGGCCCTATATAGAGGAAAATATATATTATATATTATATATATATATTCATAGAATCAACCAGGTTGGAAAAGCCCTTTAAGCTCATCCAGCCCAACCCTTATCCCAGCACTGCCGAGGCCACTCCTAACCCATGGCACTGAGGCCTCGTCTCCACGCTGTGTGAACACCTGCAGGGATGGTGCCTGCAGCCCTGCCCTGGGCAGCCTGTTCCAATGCCCGAGCACCCTCTGGGGCAGGAATTGTTCCTCAGCTCCATCTAAACCTGCCCTGGGGCAGCTTGAGGCCGTTTCCTCTTGTCCCATCCCTTGTTCCTTGGGAGCAGAGCCCAGCCCCTCCTGGCTCCATCCTCCTCTCAGGCACTTGTAGGGAGTGAGCAGGTCCCCCTGAGCCTTCTCTTCTCCATTGGAACCCCCCCCGGTCCCTCAGCCGTTCCCCATCACACTTGTGCTCCAGGCCCTCCGTACGACCCTTTACATCCCGCTTTCCCCGTCAAAAAGCACTGCGGGAAGCTGAAACCAGGCGGGGTTCTCCCGGAGCCGCTCCTGTCCCAGCGCCTTCAAACCGCTGACACCCGGCCCGGTCACCCTGAGGAACGGCGCTGGGGGGGCACCCCCCAAGGCCGCAGCGGTGCGGGGGGGACACCCCGAGGGTCACCGGGACAGGGGTGCGGGGCCTCGGCTGGGACTCGCTGCACCGGGGCCCAGCCTCAGCCCTCCCGCACCCGCCGTTACCTCACGAAGATCCCCCCCCCCCCCCCCCACCTTCCCGACCACCACTCACCAGCACCGCCCGAGCGGCCTCCTCAGGGCGCCCCGCCCACGACGCCCTCCCATTGGCCATCGGCAGGAAGACCCAACCGCCCATTGGCTGAGAGGGCCGCCCGTCAGCCCGCCCCTCCGCCGAGCGGGGTGTCCTCCGCAGGGCGCCGTTCAAATCGCTCCGGGGGGTGAAACGCGGAGCGCGGCGAAAGGTTCCGGGCCAGCACAAGCCCGCGGAGCTGTCCGCGGCGGGCGGTGCTGACCGGGCCAAGGCACAGGGTCTGGGGCTGGCTCAACCGGTAGAGGAACCAACGAAGAGCATCGCATCTCCACCAAAAACCAGCTGGAGAGAACTTAAAAGACCGTATGGGAAGCAGAAATGGGCAGGAGCAGCATGCCAGCAGGGAATAATGAAAAATGGGGAAAGGCAGATAAACCCCATGTGTAGGTTTGGCCTGAGAGGAGCAGAGCCCTGGACCCCACAGCACCGCATCCTGCTTCAGTCACCTGGGCAAGAGGGATAACAAAGAAAGTGTCCAAATAGTTTATTTTTCACAAGTTACATTGACCACATATTACTTTATGGAGCATTTACAGGTCAGTTTTTGTTTTGGTTTTTTCCCTTGATATTAATCTGCAAATATACCTGCTCACTCACAGCACCAGGCCTCCTGAAAGGGTGTTTTCCATCTCACACCTACCCACCTTCAGAGGGGGTGCCTTTTGCCCAGCAGTTAGGCTGTGAACACACCTACCCCACCACAGGTAAATAACTACTTTAAAACCCATTCTGTGGTCGATGTAAGTCTCTGACCTCAACTGGTGATTCTAGGGGATGGGGCCAGAGCCTTCCATCAGCCCAAGGAGTGATACAGGTAACTAGAGGGGTGGAAGGCTGCAGGGGGTGGCTTGAGGTGGCTACAAGAGCTTTTCCCTTTTCTCACACACCACACACTTGAGGTGTGACTGCCAATCCCCAACACCAAACCTGCAGCCACTTCATCACCTAGAATCCAAGCAGCATTGTTACTGCATCTGCTCTCTACTCGGTCACCCGCTACTCCTACCATTAGCACGGTCAAACAGGTTGATTACTTACATGCATATAAGATAAAAAAAAAAGCAGGAAAAAAAAACCCTTTAAACACCAAAAACATCCTTACTGTCCACCTGACTAGTTCACAGATTGGATCATTCCAACAACAGAGCCATAATTACTAAACACTAGACAAATTTTGTCAGGACTGGGGAAGAACCCCAGGCAGTGCACCAGGAAACGCTGTTGCATGTAGGCAGGTTCTTCCTGGCCAGTCACAAATCCCCCACATTTACACCATCCTTTGAGAGGTGAGCACCAGACTCCCATGCATTAACACCATGGCCATGTTGCTACAGACCTGAATGAGAAATGCAGTCAATCTAATCAACAGAAACCCTGTGGATCCTGCAATCTCCAGTGTTCAAACACCACCATCTCATGACTGGCAGGAGGATTAAAGTGGGCTTAGGTAGGACTTGAACACTTCTTTGAAGTGGCACATGGGCAGGAAAGTGAAGATGTCCTGTAGCGAAGAGTGCATCCATCTTCAAAAATGGGTTAAAAAAATCCCATGTAGCAAATAACAGAAATGCAACAGTGTAGTTAATTGTTCTGAGTGTCTTTAGAAAGACTGCTGCTGCTGCTGGTTTGTGGTCAGCTTGCTGGATCTTCCAGAAGAAAACAAAGAGACTAATGGAAAGGCTGAGGGAGAGGAGCAGGGATGAAGACTAGGGAAAGAAAGCATGAATCTGTCTTTAACATGCAGGTCATAGAAAGTATTTTGGTTTTCCATTATTTTTTTCCCCCTCTTGGACACTTCCAACTCAAGAAATGGCAACACACACATGGCTTCCAGTTTTTAAAGCAAAGAACATAGTTCCCACGGACTGCGCTGCAGAGACAGGAAGACAAGACATTGGCAAATTCAATCTTTGAGCAAATAAAGTGTCCCTTTAACCACTGTGAACACTATATAATGAAACTCTCTTTGTCAGCCACATAATGTGTGAGGGAAGTTCTTATTCACTGCTCCTCTGGGCTGAGCCTTGCATGAGACACACTACTAGCAGTACTGATGCAGATAACCCAGTCTCTGTGGAGGGGAGACACACCAAATTGCTAAATTAAGGCACAAGACTGATATTGCAGCCAAATACATAAAAATCCCATTCAGCTGGTCACAGTCCAGCAGCACTCCTGGCTACAGCCTCACCTGGAGGGCTCATTCCTGCTGATCTTCGTTACTGGCACTTGGAGTTCGACTCCTGATCTGGCTTCGTAGCTGCTCTATTAGTTCAGGATTCTGCTGCTGCATCTGCTGAGCAAACTGCTGTCCCCTGAAGGAGAAAAAGCAAGAGTCCTCTTTATGTTCTCACACACTCTATTATAGTGCTTGTTCAGCCTGGAGATGAGAAGGCTCCAGGGAAACCTTAGAGCAGCTCCCAGTGCCTAAAAGGGCTACAAGAAACTTGGAGAAGGGCTTTGGACAAGGGCCTGTAGGGACAGGACAAGGCAGAATGGCTTTAACCTGCCAGAGGGGAGACTGAGATGAGCACTGAGGCAGAAGTTCTTCCTTGTGAGATTTCTGAGGCACTGGCACAGGGTGCCCAGAGAAGCTGTGGCTTAATGAAAACGTTAGAGAGCGTTTAGAAATACAAGACTCAAAGACTCATCCTTCTGCAGAGAAGGACTGATGATCCCTGGCAGTGTTCAAGGCCAGGCTGGATGGGGCTTGGAGCAAGCTGCTCTAGTGGAAGGTGTCCTTGCCAGCTCCAGGGGCTTGGAAGTGGATGAGCTTTAAGGTCCCTTCCAACCCAAAACATCCCATGATGTTTCACCCAGTATTTAAGCCTTTCTCAACTGTTAAAGGAAGGTTCTGCTTCTGGTCAAAAAAAAACCAAAATCCCAAACCAATCTATTGACCAAGGCAATGGAAACTCCCAGCTCTCTACTCACGCTTGTATGAGGCTGGCAAGATCATTTGTGGATGGGCTGGTACCTGCTGCTCCCATGGGATTGTGGCCACCAGAAATCATCCCGGACATGCTGAGGAAGTAAGAGTCATTGCTCAGAGCAGGAAAAAAAAAAAAACACAGAAATGGTTTAGCTTACAGTGGAAGGGGAGTGTCGGCATAATAGGAGCACCTTCACACACAGAGTATGAAGTTATCTGCAAGGGAATCTTCTGCAACAACTTTTCTTTCTTTAACTGCAGAAGAGGAACTGTAGCATTAAACTGCACAATACCTATAAGAGTGTCAGTTTCTGTGTTCCCAGAGATACCCCTTTTGTGTGCAAGCCATGTGTTTGGTTTATTTAAAACACTACCCTTCCTCACACAAGCTGTTTGCTTGCTCTGCACCAAAAGAGACCTCGTGACAGGTCTGCCTAAATATATTCACTAGTGGCATGCATGCCTTATTATTTTGGTGACTTTGTATTATCTAAGCATCTCACAAACATTTTAAGTTGATCCTCATAATCCTGTAGCACAAAGAATGGAAATATTCTCACTCTAACCGAGATGCAGCTGTGAAATCCTGTCTCCAGGTCACATAAACACTATGCAGCAGAGCCAGTCCAAGCCCAAGCTTCCCCAACCCAGTTCCAGTGCCATGATCTACCCTGCTTGCCTTCTGCAAATGTTTATACCGAGATACCTCTTCAGCACAGTCTGGAGTACTCAAAATACACTAGCCAAGGCAGCTGGATGGGTTTAAAGCTGCCCTTCATAGTTTTGGTCCAAGCACCCTCCTGCTCCCACCAGTTCAGACCTACTGCAAATGCCAAACACATACACAGCCTCAAATGAACGATTCAAAAAGGAAATACAAGATGGGATCAAACTTACAGCTGTTGTACTTGTGGATTGTTCATTAGGTTAGATGCCTATTTAAAGAGGGGAGAAAAAATGACACCCTATTTAGTCAGAAATTAAGGGGTGGATATGCAGACGTTGTGCCATTCAGCTACGAAGGAAAAGCAGAAATACTTTGAAACAGATCAGTAGGACAAAAATAGATAAGAGGAGCCACAGTACAACACACAAGACAAGGCTGGTAATGCAAACCAGGCACCCTTCCTACAGCCAGCATGTTGCAAGGAGAAGCTGGTGAATGAGGTCAGATGAAGAGCAGTGACTTCACGAAATACAAGCCCAGTTTCCACACTGGATGAAATGAAAACAGATCTGCTAAAGAGATCCAGGAGCTTCCCAGGCCACATACTGCTACATTTCATCCTGAACAGACCAACATCCAGACCATACAGCCTGATCTGTGTCCACATTTACCATACTCATGAAGCCCGGGTTGTTCAGCAAGCCAGCTAAATCGAATCCTCCTG